TGCCATGGTGTAATTATGGCTCCAAACAGACTCTATAGCTGCGTTCCCGTTCTAAACATCAGCTCGAGCACAGCGGAAGTTTGGTTTTCTAACCCAACATAATTAAATTCCAACTGGAGAGACGGAAATCCCGCCCGCCACTGTTAGAAAAAAAAACAGAAACAGTGTATGTTTATGACAGAAAAACAGAAAACAGAAACAGTGTATGTTTATGACATAATTCGATATATGACATAATTCGATATGGCTGGTTTTATTTATTTATCGAATTATAATTTATTTATAATTCGATATGGCTGGTTTTATTTCTGGCTCTCGTTGGACAAGAGATGAGGCTTGAACAAGTTAGCTCATTAGAGTGGACTTGGAGCAGCATGACTTAAGCATCTGAGGAGCAGAAAACCATCACGGACGAGGCTGCTTTGCTTATTTGGTTGTCAATTGACCATAGAGCAAAGCAGTTACTTGACACAATGCACTTTGAGTGAAAGTACTACACTGTCACAATCAGTCTCTCCACCTACATTTAAACATGTACTAACTTCTCTGAAGCTTGTTGAAAGGCTGAGTGAAAGTGGGTAAACACAAAATGAAACTAAGAGCCATGCTAGCAGCTCTGTGAGGCTGAACTAAGACACAGTGACGGTGCTTTGTCCTAAGGTCAGCGACAATGACTCTGCTAACATGCTGATCACAGGAAGAGAGTCCTGTTCTAATACAGCTTCTGTAGCGTCTGTAACTCAATGCAGTCTCTCGCTAGGTTTTTCTTTAGTCTTTCTGAACAAAAGAAGCATATTCCTGCTCGTTACTTTAAATTTTCCAAGAGAAATCTGCATCTACAGCACTTGATAATAGAAGTCAGAACCGTTGAATACGCGCAAAGTACAAGTTGCATGCTAACTACCTTGTGAGCATAAAAGAAACAACACTTCCCTTAAAAATATACCAGCTCATCTGAGCAGGTGTTTATGCCACTGTAACTTCGTTTCATCTATATGTATAATATCCATCTCCTCTGTTAGCTGTAATCCCTGACGTGATGGTCTGGAGCTTATGGGAAAAGTTGTTGCATAAAGGCTGCTAAAAAAAAAGAAAAATTTAATCAGCAGTGTATGTTTTAAGGTTGTCTCCTGCTCTTGAACCCGATATCTCAAGAACGCCTTGAGGGAATTTCCTAAAATTTGGCACAAACGTCCACTTGGACTCAGCAAGGATGTGGTGGTCATAAGTCAAGATCACTGTGACCTCACAAAACATGTTTTTGGCCAAACGCAAGAATTCATGCACTAATCATGACAAAATTTCACACAAATGTCCAACAGGATGAAATGATGAATTGCTGACATTTTATATCCCAAAGGTCAGAGGTCAGCTTCACTGTGACATTGTAATGTTCTGCAAAAAACACTTTTCTGGCCATTACTCAACGTCCTAGCTCAGGAACAGAGGGGGAGACACTTATCTTGGGTGTCCATCTTGAAATTATGCTGATCTTATAGACCTTCTGTGCTGCCTGGGTGAAGATGTGTAGCTTTGTAGCTTCTTTGGAGCAACATCCATATTTGAAACATGTTCCACTGTCATGGGTACATGTAAGTCTGGACCGACATGAACGTAAACTGCAACTTGACTGGTTGGTGGAGGCATACAACCAATAGGCTGTAATTCTAGTTTTTATTTTTATTTTTATAAGATACTTGTCTTTATCTGGACATGCTGTGACGTTTGTTAATTAGCACTTAATCACAAAGCTTGCCTAGGACGCCAAATGTGCTAGGTCCAGCACTGAATCCATCTAAAAACTGTCGCAACATAACAACAACATTAATCTCATGATGACAGCAAAAGGAAAGTGAGGGGTACGCCATAACCATCAGGATTCATCCTCTGGGAACTATGAATGTCTGTACAAAATCAAATTGCAATCAGTTAAATAGCTGCTGAGACATTTCAGTCTGAACCAAAATGGTGGATCTCCTGATGAACCCGCAAACTGACTTTGGCATTCCCAGAGCTACACTGCGAGCGTGTCTACAAACTAAATGTCATCACATCATCACAGAATAACTGTTGGAATGCATCACAGATTGATGTGCTGTATATAATAGAGAAAGAGTGTGTCAGAGGGTGGAGACTTCCTCTGGGCTGATGATGAATAACTGTAGGAGAGATGAAGGCATATCAACTCATCAGGCCTCGCACATTGTGGAGCCCATGATTGCCCACAGTCTTGCTGTTGTGCGGCGTGTGGCTTTGATGTCCTTGGTGTACTCTCTAAAGAAACCTCAGCGCAGTCAGTCACAACAAACTCATGTGGGGTCATTTTGGCCTTGGTGGTTGAACAGCTTTCAGTATTTGGGTTGATGAATCCTAAGGAATGTGTTTTTGGGTCGAGCTGTTGATTGTTGTTTCCGTTTGTGGCTGTGCTCCAGGGCCAGAATTTTTGAATTGAGGCACTGAGAAACCACACCCACACCCAGACTGATACAGCACTGGACTGGATGTACATGACACACAGATACAGACGCTGTGTAGACGTTTACCCCGTCCTATTTCAGTGAAGCAGAAACCTCAGCGGCTGCCATTAGTACCTTGTGTCCTGCGTCCAGAGACGCTGATTTAGGCAAACCAGAGCTGTTTGGGTCATTTTTGTTGTTAGTTATTTATGAGCACCAGTTGTTCCTCGTTCTAGGTATCCCTGCTATGACCACAATGTGGGTGGATCCCGTCTGTGGGACTGACAGCTGACATTCCAGACCTCTTATGAGCCACAGACCAGAGGAAGGCTCACATTTAGAACAAACACTGGGTTTTTCTATAAAAAAATGTGCCATTCTGTGTTTTGGACTGTGGACTCCAGCTTGTGTAAAGGCTCCAAAACTGCAACACAGTGAGGAATGTGTAGGTATCTGTGGTTTTGTGGTGGCTAGAATGGTATAATTTGTGGCGGAGATCACCAAAGTGTTCAAAACAGACTGAGGGTAACATAAAAAGCAACTGACAAACACAAGCACATAAATATTTTGTAGGTGCTGAACAGAAAAATTAATACAAGAAACCCAAAAAATTAGCAAATTGTTTCATTTTTCCCCAAGTGTTAGTGCTATGTCTTTCAGGATAAGTCTGGCATTATTCAGTATTTTGCTTACTTTCAACAAATGCTAGCCTGACAACACCGGACCAAATTGCAAATGCGAGTTAGTCTGGAGCCTCTTCATTTTCGATTTCCAAAGGGTATTATCAACGGCTGTGATGTAGGTTTATGCTCACCGTAGTGTCCTAGGCACGACAGTGTGTGAGCCAGAAACGATATCATCATGTATTTTACGTCAAGTGTGAAGGCTACATAAGTTGTCAGGGATCATTGGAGCCACGCCCCAGATTGGATAACCCAACGAAGGCCAGGTCAAGTGGAATCTGTCCCCTAATGGGAGTGAAGACCAGACACATCTGCCAGAGCAAATAAAACATGAGCTCGCAGATTTGTCTGTTTCCCAGGCTAAACAAATGCTTTTAAAAGACCAAAACCAACAATGCATTAGTCCGCCTGTCAACACTCACTGACTTTGTTTCCCTATTTGTGGCACTCAGCCCCAAACCCATTGGTTCCTAGTGAAGATTAATCTTTGAAATATTTTTTCATAGTAATAATGGGTCAAATGACTACATGTGATGAAATAAAGGGTGGCTCATAATGATGAACCAGAAACAGAATCATTGTCTTAGTTCTGTGATTAGGTTAAGGCACAAAAAAATATTGGCTATAGTTAGGAAAATCATGTTTTGGCTTAACTTACCGGGTTTTGGGGGCACAATCCTGGCAGGAAAAGCAGCGATGTGTCTGTAAAAAACAACTGCTTTTTGTGGCACCATCCCTGCTTGAAAAACACAGATAGGTTGTTTTGTAACTCCCACGTTTGGTGACGGAAAGTTGCTGGAAAACCACAGATGGCTCACCACAGATCACAAACATCTGGGGCCTGAAAATTCACTGGAAACAAAGCAATGACTCATAACACAGCCTGTTCTATGGTTTGTCGGTCTCGAACAGTGGTCTACAGTTTGACTGTCATCTCGTCTAGGTGTCACACCGTCCACCATCCCCTCTGACTCCCGATGATAAATTCAGCTCATATATTATGTCACTTTAGAAACTATATCATACATTATATTTACAGCACCTGGATAGTATATGTTGTATTGACCTAACATGAACTACAGTGCCTGTGTTTATCATAATGATTGGACATTTTGCTCAGTGCAACAGTGTGGCTCATTGATGTCTTTTAATAGTGGAGGAATACGATATATCATGTTTTGGCTACACAGACAACACGGTTTAGATGGATCAATTCATTGTTTTTTGTCTTTTCTTGGGATTTATTAACAGTAAGAAAAATGTAGACTATCATCAGACCTCTCCATGGAATATATTGCGTCTTGAAAATGAGTATAAATCACATTTTGTCTGGTGGACTTGAGGGAAACAGCAGTGAAAGTATATAGAAAGAGGTTTGTGTTTGCACTATAACTTTGTGTGTTACATTACATTTACACACACACAGTTTATGGTTTAGGTATCTGGAGGAGGATGTGAGTGTGGGCACACAGGCCATCACTGCGAGTGGGCAGACAGATGGAAAACATGCAGAGTCAGGAGACAAACAGGTGTGTGCCAGGCTTGTGTGTGTGTGTCTGTGAGAGAGAGTTTCATGAGAGGTCTGATAATATTTACTCTGTGAGTGAGTGACATGATTTAAGGAGGAATTCTTTATAAATTCCTGCGTCTGGTTTGATGGACATTGTTCTTGTGTATCTTGGCTTGGCCTGCTCAGTGTGAGATAGAGAGAGATCCTGCTGATAGTGCCAGGATGAAAAAAGAAACGGGGATGAAAGAGACAAGGCAGAAACAGAAGGAAAGGAAAAGACAGATAGAGGAGAAGGAGATGCATGTGTACTTGAAAATTAAACTCATTCTAGTCTGTCTTTCTCTCTCACAGAGTGTTTGAACTGTACCAGTTTCACTGACATGAACAGCAGGATAAACGCCATTGAATCAAAGGTAACATGGATCCCCACAAGCCTACCAGTTATTTGAAGACAAGACTTGGTAAGTGTACACTTTACATGCATACAATCTGCTGCTCTTGTTTCAGATCAAGCTGTTTGAAGAGGGACACTCATCCCTGCAGACAGTCAGCAGTTCACCAGAGGGCTCCACAGACAATGAAGTGGACGCACCCAAACCCACTCCTATTGGGCCACCATCATACCTGCCACCAGGTATCGACACTTCAGGAAGAACAGATGTAGTGGAGATGTTGAAGAGCTGTTTTAATGTCTGTAAAAAAAACTAGGTGCAAAGGCAGTTCTGTTTCGTGTCTGCATTTGAAATAATCAACAGTAAATGCAGTTTTAATATTCAGAGATAATTAAAGGAATAGTTCACTGCTATTTAAGTCAGAACTCCAGTGATGTTAGTGGAAAAACTTGCATCCCTTTATCATGTTAAATGGTTACACAAAAGTTCAATATTTGCATCTTCACCGGCTTCATTTGGCTCCTACTGATACTTTTGGTCAGCAGTGCATCCTTCTGGCAACAGATAGAACACAGACTAGATGGGCGATAGATTATTGTCCTGTGGCACTCATGTTTTGGTGGATGTCCAGAAATATAATAGCCTTTTTTTAAATTTATTTTCACTCACTTAACTGACCATCTTAAGTCCAGTGGTGAGATGCAGAGATCCAGTAAGGAGGTTAAAGGGGTACTCCAGCAATTTAGCCTTGCACTTTCATAAAGTCGGGGGACTTGTGTGAGAGAGATTTAAAAGGCCAGTGTGTAATATTTGGCATGGTTTATTGTCAAATCTGAATCTGAATCTGAATATTCTACCCATTAATATGTTTATATAAGTGTATAATCGCTATAAAATATTATTCGTTTGGTTTTCGTAGCCTTATAATTATGCTTTTATATATATATATATATATATATATAGCAAGGGCCTTGCTTTAGAGAGGTCGCCATCTTGCACCGCCATGTATGTACGGCAGCCCGAGTGGACAATCCAGCCAGCCAGAGAAAGCGTTTCGCGTGTATAAATAAACCAACGAAGAAGACAGCGGAAGGAAGGAATAAGGAGGAGGAAACAGCAGAGAGTGTTAGTAGTTCATCGATGGAAAGTAGTGAAAAGTTTTTTTAGTTATAAAGTTTGCGAATGGACCACACTTACCACGCAACAGGAGAGAATGAACCCGAACCGTCATCTGTGAGGAAAAGAAGACACAACTTCACTCCTTGTGATGCACTCTCTGCGGCGCTTTTCCTCCTGATGATATCTCCCCAACGATGGTAGCACCGAATCCCATTCTGTGCAGCCAAATGGGAGTGGAGGATTCAGCCTCTCGTCTCGCCCGCTCAGCATCCAAGTTCCTCATCTGTATGCTCCGGCTCAAACAGGTATGGTTCTGGGTCTGTGTCCGCTACAAGAAACTCTTCAAAATCACGTTCAAAGTCGTCCATTGCAGCTACTATAGTCCGGAGATATTGCTAGGCTACATAAACAGCTGAGCTCTGTTTACCGGCTACGCTGTCAGTCAGTGTGCGGGCTGAAGATTGGTGGAGCAGAGAGGGGAGGGGGTACCCGCTGGGTACTGTAAGTGAGTATGTGTGTATGGAGTGTGTGTGTTACGCTAGAAGAGTCAGAGTTTGGGACGGAGTCTTTTACCCCCTGGAGTGTTACTGGAGTTTTTGGAGTGCTCAAATAAACTGGCCTTTTTCCCAAACGCTACTCTGGTCTCCTGCTCGTGAGGGATTCATTACAATATCGTAACATGGTTTAGATTACTAAATAAACATTTACCTCGTCGCTAGATAGACCTACTCCTGAAAAACTTGTGTCTGCTCAAGGCTTTTTGTCCCTACGAGGCCACCGTCATTTACCCGATGGGAGGGGTGAGCGAGTGAGCCCTGCAATCTAGAATTTGACCACTGATATCACTGTTTTCAATGGTTTTAACCCATTTTACACAGTGGCCCTTTAAAACAACAACAAAAAGGTCAACTCAATGAAGCAGCAGAGGCGGAGATATCCTGACTTTACATCCCTAATCCTTCGTTTGCCATCATGCAAATGACAACGACTTTGCAAATTACTTTTGTTATGGCATGTTCACACCAAACAGGAAGCAAATTAGTCCTATTACTCACGCTAGCACGGCAGCTAGAGTGTTTTTTTTTTGTAATGAATATTCACCCTTAACCGCCATTGTGCTAGCTAGGCAGCTAATGGCTAACTTGGTTTGCAGTGAAGTATAATCGATAGCTGGAATCGAGTGATATGAACACAGTAAACACAGAGGCTCCGTGCTCTGAACCAGCATGAACCAAGAAGTTTAATTTTCCACACTGCCACTGCAACACATTACCACTTCATTCCTTCCGTTGTTTATCCTCCATAATAAAAGACCAATATAAATCACACAAAGCTTTTTGCCAAGACGCAACATAACAAAATAACTCACACAAGGCACAAAAACATATTTTCAGAACTCATCATGAAGTCATTTAGCTGTGCTCACTGATTTCTGAGCCCTCTCCTTTTTGTTGTGTCGCTGTACAGCACTGACGTTGAGTGGTAGACCTCCAGGTGCCACGTTGTTTGCCCTCCATTTCTGATTCTCAGTAACGTCAAGAGAATGTCAACTAGATCTTAGCACTGATAGGCTTGAGTTGAGTTGTTGTGTGTAATCTCACTGCACACAACATTTGCTTTGCATTTGGCATGAACACACCATTAGTCCTACTTCTTTGAAACCCCACACCTAAAGTCTATTTTCCCAGGTTTGGTCGTAGTTGAACTATAAGTCTCTAAAAACGTAAACTCTGCATTTCATTCTGACTGTCTCTTTTGTTTTTGGAGCATCGGGAGGCAGAGGGCCTCCAGGGCCCATCGGACCACCAGGGCCTCCAGGTTCTGCTGGGCCTCCAGGTCCCTCAGGAAGAGCAGGCCTCCCTGGACCTATCGGTAATATATCAACTGATTGTCTAGTCTCATCTGCTCATTTAAAAATGGTCTGAAAACACTCTCACGATTGACGAAATGCTTGTTTTACATGACTGATTGATTCATGTATTTCACCTTGGCGCTCAGGACCAAAGGGGGACAGAGGTCTAGCAGGAGTGATAGGTCTCCCCGGGCCTCCTGGTCCACCGGGTCCTCCAGGGCGGAGCTCCTCGCCTGTTCGAGAGCGCGGTGACGTTTTTCACGTGGACAATCAAGGTGAGCGTACTATTCCACCTCACATTCACTCTTCTTACTTCAATCTAAATTGTCCCAGATGGCCTCAAATGAGAACATAATAGAAGTCAATCTTACACACATGGTTGAGTTCTGACCCAAGAACAATTGTAAAACCATTCAAGCATTCAGTTTTTGGTTCGTCTGAAATTATGCCAAAACCACAGGTCCATTTTGATGAATCATGTGCCTCACCATTTTCAAACACTCACATATCTCATGCATTATGTTCATCCTTTGCAATCATTGTGTCAGGCAGAACCTGAACGCAGGCCAGATGGGTTTCTATGTATGGAAAATGTTTTTTAAAAAAAGGGCACAGGTGGAAGCACGGAGCACGTTGTAGCTGTAGTGTTTAAGTGAGCAATATGTGTCTTTAGCTTTCAGAGAAGGACTCGCAGTTGTAGCGGAGAGAGTATTGTTTCTTTGCAGCGAAGGTCTGGCTTACATTTAGTTTAATTGTTTCCGTGTGTGTTGCTGCTGCTGCCACCGTTTACTGCAACCTCATTTAACACCACCGCTGACAATGGAGCCAAATATCCGCAAATAAATCATGAGATCAGCTCATTTGTTTTTTTGTTTTGTTTTTTAAAAAAGACTGAATCAATTAGAAAAAGATATTGAGACACTTTTCATTCATCTTATCCACTTTGATGCAGCTTTACTTCTTTAACTTCCTCCCAAAATGGCTTTTGTAGTGTTAAACTTGAAATAATGAATTTATCAGTGTTTTTAGATTTAAAATCTTCATATCTTTAAAAAAACACAAATGCAAAAGTTTCATTTCTCATATTTAAAACCTGTCTTTGACCACAGGGAGGCAGTAGAAGTCTGTGCTATAATCATTACCTCATGCAGACTGCTGGCTCCGATTAGGCATTTGGCTGCGTCTGCCTTTCTGAGCCCAGAACTGTGTCTGCGGGTCTGGAACTATGTAGATTTGGGTCTGTGGGACCATGTAAGCTGAGGGGGGCCAACTGGCTGTAAATCAGGCCTAATTTGTTAGCTGTCAGCACAACAGTCTGCGTTTGGGGGAACAGGCCGCGGCCCGGAGCCAAAATCTCGGCTAGCTATGAACAAGGGAGGAGATAGTCTGCCACTCATGTGGAGTTTCTTGGGGAGGCAGCCAGGCTCGAGGAGACTGTAACATTAGAAAATTAGTTCCAGAGGGAAATCTGCTCCTTCTAGACCCTTTCTGTGGACTGTAGCCATAATGTAACAGTGCTGTCTCAACACTGAGGGGGGGAGACTGACTCTGAGCATATGTTAAAGTGGAGAGGAAGTGTGCTGTGGTTGAAAACAATATTCGTACTTACAAGCATACTTTGAAATAGCCAACATGCTGAGAACAAGGCACGACTTCCACCTCCTCATGTCCAAGTGTTTACTGCTCCATTAAATGGGACCTCTTTTCTATTGACCAGCTGCTGCTGTCAATCACTGTCACATTGCATTTAATCCTGCTGTTAACTGCTGATGAAACTCTGTAGCCTGACTGGTCACCCCTGATGTCTTAACCAGTGGGGCCCCCAGGAATTTTTCATGGGGGTGGCCAGATGGGGCCACTGACAATCCTGGGGTGGCACACCAAATCCAAAGGCGATAACTGACTTCCTGGAATTTGATTATGCTGTTGGGGTATATACACTAGCTGAAAACAATGTCAGTACGGAGAGTTAAGGAATCACATATGTACTGTGGTTTTTATTTTACAGTTAATGTTACTAATTATCTGACGTGCATAGACTGATACTGTCACAATTAACATTTTAAGTTCCACAACAGTCCTGTTTTAATGTGTTATGTATCTGTATATACATGCGTTAGATTCATTCTTTTCCTTAAAAAACAAATATACAACTTTGATTTGAAGGAGTATGTTGATTGTAAGGAACAAAACATTAACTGGGAACAGGCCTACTCAAGTTTAGGGGAGACTTGTGGGTACCGGTGGAGCCCATTTCCTTTCAGATATCTTAAGGTGAGAGTTTAAGGGAATCTCTTTGAAAATGGCCATGCCAATTGTTCCCTCGCCAAAATTTAGCCTAAGCTTGGAACGTTTTTTTTTACACCACTTGTCGAAAAGCTATACCAACATGGTTGGTACCAATGAATGCCTTAAGTTGTCTAGTTTCACAAGATACCGCTAACTTTGCAGCTTAAAAAATCAGCATGCCACGGCCTCTTACAGACAGTAATATCGGCCTCCAATTGCCAGCCATTGTATTGGGGGGGCTGTGGCACTCTCTAGTCCCCACTCTGAGGCGTCATTGGTCTTAACTCTTCTATTAGATTGAAAAAAGGCTCCCACACCAAGGTTCAGGCTGACACTCCAATGGTGAACGCATATGAACAGATACAGAAACTAGTATTTGTAAGGCATACTGGAAGCAACAATTTTATAGGCATGCCCAAGATAAGTCCATACCAGCAGTAGAAGCAGATCTAGTATTGTCAGATCAAAGTTGTGAATCCAGTTGTGTCTCAAATGCATCACGAGTGACCACTTGTGATTGGATTTTGCTTTCCTGCTTATTTGAGGAAACTACGATTGCTGCTAAACAACAAAACCTCATTGAAATATTTTGACACATGCAATGCAACTATTTGGGAGGTTTGCTGAACTATATGCAGAGTACAGACTTACGTGATCACATGCATCCATGGCCACCTTTGGATGTGACTGTAATCAGGTCTTAGTGTAGTATGTCTTTATTTTCTTTCTTGGTGCATTTACATCTGTATTTAAAGCTGTTCATTAGAGATCAGATTGATTAAGATGTTTTGCTCAGCAGCAGTGACAAAAAAACAACCAAACAAAAACAACAACAAAGGAAGGAAAATTCTACAAAACATTGATATTTGTTGTTAAAACTTTTCATTTGTGATGATTAAATTGGAAAGAGCTCGCAGAATTGAATAAAATCGACCTCGTGCCAACATTTCTGCCTGTGGAACACAAATATCCAGTGTTGGAGCTTTGGCAGCCAGCAACAATGGAGTCATGGAGATTTTGGCAGTTTCCACATGGACTTGGCAGGTTGCTGTGTTGCAGCTTATGAGTCACTGTAGTTATTATACACAGTGTTGATCAATGAAAACATCAATAAAAATATTTTTAAGTCATTAGCACCCGGAAATAGAGTGCATGTTTAATTCAGTGGACTCCGGAAGAAAAGTTAAAGGACATTAGAGAACGTTGGGTAACTGCACATTTGCACACTTAACCACATTAAAACCATAGACTGTATAGATAATGGATGCAGCTTCCTTACTGTCACCCATTGGTTTGTTGACTGCTGTTTTGAAGCCTTAAGTTTGGCGTTTCAGCCGTCGCCATCTTAAAAATTTTCAGAGCCAGAAGTGCCCATATTTGGACGAGTGGGTGAATCTGACTCATAGGCTGGAGCGATGTATCGCAGACAGCCTGTCACTCAGTTTGACATTTTAATATTGGGGTCTACAGGGACTGACTCACCTTCTGGAGCTGGCCTCAAGTGGCCATTCAAGGAACTGCAGTTGGCACCTTTTGGCAGGTTTTGGCACCACGTTGGCTCCTATCTCCACCCTGGAGGTTGCTGCTTAATTAAAACATGGCCTAAGTGATAAGCTGTAAATCCACCTCATGCAGTAACATGACTGTTGATGATCCATGTCTTCATTGCATCTTTTCTAATCTGTCATTACAGTCATTATCTTTTGTGCAGAAGTTAAACTAAACTTCTGTTGTTGTTTTTCCCAGAGGAGATCCCTGTCCGTCCAGCTCTCCCTTCTTCTCAGATCGTAGTCGGGCCTCCCGGTCCAACTGGTCCGACTGGTCCTGTTGGCCCCGCAGGTACTAATATGAGCTTTTAGAGCCAACACCACCGAATCACAGCATGTCCTCAGTCCAAGCAGTTCATTATGTAGTTATGGATAAATATACAGTACAGGCCAAAAGTTTGGACACACCTTCTCATTCAATGTGTTTTCTTTATTTTCATGACTATTTACATTGTAGATTCTCACTGAAGGCATCAAAACTATGAATGAACACATGTGGAGTTATGTACTTAACAAAAACAGGTGAAATAACTGAAAACATGTTTTATATTCTAGTTTCTTCAAAATAGCCACCCTTTGCTCTGATTACTGCTTTGCACACTCTTGGCATTCTCTCGATGAGCTTCAAGAGGTAGTCACCTGAAATGGTTTTCCAACAGTCTTGAAGGAGTTCCCAGAGGTGTTTAGCACTTATTGGCCCCTTTGCCTTCACTCTGCGGTCCAGCTCACCCCAAACCATCTCGATTGGGTTCAGGTCCGGTGACTGTGGAGGCCAGGTCATCTGCCGCAGCACTCCATCACTCTCCTTCTTGGTCAAATAGCCCTTACACAGCCTGGAGGTGTGTTTGGGGTCATTGTCCTGTTGAAAAATAAATGATCGTCCAACTAAACGCAAACCGGATGGGATGGCATGTCGCTGCAGGATGCTGTGGTAGCCATGCTGGTTCAGTGTGCCTTCAATTTTGAATAAATCCCCAACAGTGTCACCAGCAAAACACCCCCACACCATCACACCTCCTCCTCCATGCTTCACAGTGGGAACCAGGCATGTGGAATCCATCCGTTCACCTTTTCTGCGTCTCACAAAGACACGGCGGTTGGAACCAAAGATCTCAAATTTGGACTCATCAGACCAAAGCACAGATTTCCACTGGTCTAATGTCCATTCCTTGTGTTTCTTTGCCCAAACAAATCTCTTCTGCTTGTTGCCTCTCCTTAGCAGTGGTTTCCTAGCAGCTATTTGACCATGAAGGCCTGATTGGCGCAGTCTCCTCTTAACAGTTGTTCTAGAGATGGGTCTGCTGCTAGAACTCTGTGTGGCATTCATCTGGTCTCTGATCTGAGCTGCTGTTAACTTGCGATTTCTGAGGCTGGTGACTCGGATGAACTTATCCTCAGAAGCAGAGGTGACTCTTGGTCTTCCTTTCCTGGGTCGGTCCTCATGTGTGCCAGTTTCGTTGTAGCGCTTGATGGTTTTTGCGACTCCACTTGGGGACACATTTAAAGTTTTTGCAATTTTCCGGACTGACTGACCTTCATTTCTTAAAGTAATGACGGCCACTCGTTTTTCTTTAGTTAGCTGATTGGTTCTTGCCATAATATGAATTTTAACAGTTGTCCAATAGGGCTGTCGGCTGTGCATTAACCTGACTTCTGCACAACACAACTGATGGTCCCAACCCCATTGATAAAGCAAGAAATTCCACTAATTAACCCTGATAAGGCACACCTGTGAAGTGGAAACCATTTCAGGTGACTACCTCTTGAAGCTCATTGAGAGAATGCCAAGAGTGTGCAAAGCAGTAATCAGAGCAAAGGGTGGCTATTTTGAAGAAACTAGAATATAAAACATGTTTTCAGTTATTTCACCTTTTTTTGTTAAGTACATAACTCCACATGTGTTCATTCATAGTTTTGATGCCTTCAGTGAGAATCTACAATGTAAATAGTCATGAAAATAAAGAAAACGCATTGAATGAGAAGGTGTGTCCAAACTTTTGGCCTGTACTGTAGATGTATACTGTGATGTGATTGAGTTTTGACCCCTTGGACGAGTCCATCAGTACTGCTCAAACTCACAAAGAATTCAGATCCTTGTCGAAATCCCAAAATGTCCAAAGTTAGGAAACGTGTCATGCTAATTTACAGAGGAATATGCAAGGAGAAGAAGAGCCACAAGACATTTAAACACATTCATTTCTATGTAATTCAAATGTCTAGCAACAAATGAGTGATCTCTTGAATTTCAAAACTTTTACTACATGAGCATTACAGTAGATTGAATAAAACACTGGTACAAGTTGATACAAGTGTGACCCTGTTATGTCATATGAAAACATTGTTAAAGCCACTTAATTTAAGAGATATTTTAAGTGAAATATTTAGAAGATCGAAGTTCAATGTTTATTTTGTAAACCCTGACAAATCTCCCTCTCAGGACAGAGTCATTACTGAATTGAATTAAACTGTATTAAATTGGCTGAATTTAATTTTGACATTGCACAACAGTCGAAGCCAAACTTAAACATTCTGACATTTAGTCCCCTTTGTGAGTGAATGTTTTTGTGAACGACACCACAGGCCCTCCAGGACTGAGAGGACTTGCAGGGATGCCAGGCCTGCCAGGACGAGATGTGAGTACATGAATTTGTTGATGAATGACAGATATGAATGTATGACCTATATCATTAACACACACTTTTGTGTTTTATTGACATCAGGGTAAGGAGGGCCTCCAAGGCAAGCCTGGGGATCCTGGCCCTAAAGGAGATCCAGGGGAAAGGGTGAGGCCGCTGTAAAAATCGTCCTCTTGTTTAACAATTGCCCGTTATTGGATTAGCAGGCTGGCTGAACATATTTGATTCTGATGAACTATCAAAATGCTTTTTGTTCTGCGTTTTGTAAATGGTCCTAGCTGTCATGCAATCTTAAACACATTAAAGGTCAACAAGCTTTTCTTCAAAGACTCACTCCGAGCCATGACTAATCCTCCCCTCTCTCCCATCCAAGGCCAGGCCTCACTAATCAGGGCGGCCATGTCGGGTCCCTCTTTTATCCGGCTCTCTAGTGGGCCTCTGTCTTTAAACCTGATCCCCTTCCTCTACTAGCATGATTTAAGATTGGAGATCTGGTGAAGAGGCAGATTAGCAGAGAGGGGATAAAGAATGCAAGCTGGTGAGATGTGTGTGTGAGCAGCAGTCTTAAATTATTCTTCTCTGTTCATTCTCTACCAGGGGCCTCCAGGTGTAGCAGGCAAGCTGGGCCTACCTGTAAGTATAAGGCTATTGTGTTGTATAAGACACACACACACACACACACACACACACACACACACACACAACACAGATTATTTTACCCTGTTTCCACAGGGCGCACCAGGGCTAAAAGGCGAGCCAGGAGAGGGCTTGAATGAGGTAAGCGACATTAGTTTCCTTTCCTCCTGGGCTCATTTGAAAAATTGTCCGAAACTAAACATGATGGTGTTGATCAGGGTGAGGCCGTGCAGCAGCTCAGGGAGGCCCTGAAGATCCTGGCCGAGAGGGTCCTGATCCTGGAGCACATGATCGGCGTTCATGGTGAGGAGAAAAACAGAGGTGGAAGAAAACGTTTTTCCAGGCCTCGTTTTTTGGAGGAAATATGCTTATTTGCTTTCTGGTGATCAGTTACATGAGAAGATTGATACCACTCTCAAATGTGTCTGTTAAATGTAAGGCTACAGCCAGCTGCCACGGTTAGCTTAGCTTAGCACAAAGACTGGAAACAGAGGGAAACAGCTGGCCTTGGCTCTCCACCTACCAGCATCACTACAGCTCAATTATTAACACATTATGTCCCGTTTGTTTCATCTGTACAAAAACAAAGTGTACAAACGACAATCTGCCATTTTATCGGGGTTGTGTGCCCAACTACTTCTTGGCTCTTAGCAGTTTCCAGGTAACCATGAGCATAGGCACAGTTTTAACTTTAAAGTTGGGGGTTCACAAAAAAAATATAATAATATATAATACGTACAACAGAGGCTTTGTTTACATGTAATAACAAGGATACCAGTAGCTGCATCTTTAAATCCCAACTGAGCTGCGTGTGTCAGTCTCTAAAATGTCGCCTTGTTGTGTTATTGGGTCCCAGAATAGAAGGAGTCATGGCTCAAAACTTAAATTTTAGTGCATACCTGCCACTGCCCGTCAACAAAAATGAAGACAACTATGGTTTAATGCAATAAGACAAGAGGACTGGACGAAGGCGATCATCAAAAATGCTTATGTGTGCAGCACACACTTCGTATCAGGTTAAGATAATCAAACAGTACATTCACACAGTCTTAGAATTTACAAACCAGTCCAATTTGTGCCTGAGTGCCCTCCGGCACTGACTATTGAATGAATGACTATTTCTGAATCCACCACTTGCATCATCTTCCTCCATACTCGAAAACAAGCCAACAGACCTTGCTAGCCAGCACTGGCTAATGTCTGTGGGGAATTGTTTTGCTCCAACTAAACCCCGCCCACCAAAAAAACATCATACTGTTTACTAACAGTAAAAGGGTCTATAGACATGACTCTAGTAACATGAAATATTGTTGTAACGCTACATGTGAGAGACTTACCCAGAACCCGTCAGCGAGGCCTCAGGTGCTATGTCATCCCTTTCAGAAGCTTTGTAATCCAGCTTTGGTGTCTTTTTGGAGACTTTGTAAAGTAAATCCATGATGATAAATCCACCCAGAGGAAAACTTGATAAAGCAGAAGTTCTTTTGCTGTGCTTGTATGCTTCTCGGAGGTTAGTTAACTCCTCAAGCAGATAAAATAGACAGAATTGAGACTTGAATTTGATCACTGAAACAAATTCCTGAAACTGTGCAGGCTCATTTATAAGCCAATCAAGTTTTCTTTTGGATTTTACTCTTACCTCAAGAGCTGATTTTTTCAGACAAATACAGAATACTGTAGCAAGATAGGGAAAAGAGCATTTTAAGATCTAAAATTAGACTCAGGCTGAGACAGGAGGAAGGCTTTTTCTCAGGAGGTGAATTTGAGAAGTATAAGAATATGGTCAAAATCTCAGATTGACATTAAATTGACCTCAGTTACATCTAGGAGAAATAGACTGGACAAAGAAAAGCTCTAATTCTGAATTGTCCTTTCCTCTGGGTGACACTGAACGTCTTCTGTGATCATTTATCTATTGTTGGTGTTGAAAACAGTTGTTAGCCATCCGCAAGCCATCTATGATGCATTTGGGGTGATGTTTAAGTTAGAATCATCCCAGCCATGTAAGTGTTACCTGTTAATTGTTTGTGTACCTTGCTCTGTTTTATAAAAAATATAAAGCTCATATTTAAATCCCCATATACGTTTTTGCTATGCCCACCGGGGGGTTTAGTGTGTCCCCTGAACCAACACAAACTGTGACGAGGAGGTTACTGCTTCCAACAAATACTTTGGCACATAAATGTTGTTTTCATTGTTCAGTTTTGTAGGCGTTAACGCTCAAGATAAAATGTGTTAATTAGTGAGCTTTAGAGGTGCTGGTAGGTGGATTTTGTTACCTTCAGGCTGAGCCAGGCTAGTTGTTTCCACCTGTTTCCACTCTGTTGGCTGTAGCTTCACATTTAGCAAAGCACAGAGTGGTGTAGATCCTCTCATTTAACTCTCCTCCAGAAAGCAATTGAGCATGTTTTCCAAAATGTGACAATATTCATTTAATGCAGTATTTGAAGAAGGGTATTTTTTGGATGATTGTTTTTTTGTCATTCATGTCTTTACACAGAGAACTCTGAAGGATCTGGATTTGGCAGCATTTTGGACCCTCTGTCTTTCTCTGCCATAAAGACCAAGCGCCGCCAGCCCGTTCAAACCCCTCCTCACGCTCCAGGACTGAGGGAGAGATAGAGACGAGTTCCCCTTTAAGAGAACAGTCTTATTATGTATGTGTGTGTGTGTAATTGTGATGGATGTGGCAAATTTGGCTTGACTGGACATACAATTTTTGTTTATATCATGTTTCTTATGTTATTGCAGCTTATTTCCCCTTTTTTCAGCTGTTAAATGAAGAGATGTTGAGCATTTCAACCACATGAAAGGCTTTTTTTTTAGCCTTTCTGGCCCTGTTGCTGCATGCTCTTAGTCTACATAACCTTAGCAGCAGCACTTGTACAATGTTGTACAATGAAATATAATCTCATAAAGTGTTATGAGGATTTTGGCATCCTGCTTTTCCTCAGATAACAGGCTGCCTCGTAAACACATCAGTTTCCTTGGCTGATGCTGCAAAGCTCCTCAGGCTGCAAGTTCCCGAGAGCTGGACCCAAAATATACTATTTAGTGTCAAACACATTCTTGGAACGACCTCGGGGTTCATCTCATGTTAGCCTGTCAAACATATTTCTTCCTTTCTCCTCTCTCTGTGTCTCTCTGCTTGCTCTGCCTTGTTAAAGCTGAGGTAAGACATGATGGGCTGCCAAGAATATCTGCTTAAAATAAAGTTAGGTGAAATGAATAGCATCTGGAGAGAGTGCACATCTGGAAAGCAAAAGGAGGAGATGCTGAAACGGTTGAGTCTTTGCCCAGGGACCCAGACCCTGCTTGGTTCCAGTTCACCTTCACGCGACTGGCTGATGGAGCTCTAAACAGGATTACATTGACTTCTTCATAAACTGCCTCTGAGACTTGTTTCCAAACTGATATGATTATTCTGTAATAGGTCTCTAAGAGACCAAGCCTGTTGGTCCCATGCCTGGTACAATCATTGTATTCGTCATTACAAGGTGCATGTGCAAAAGGAATAATTCTGCATTTTGGGATATAAACTCATTCACATTCTTGTAGAGAGTTAGATGAGAGGTTTGATAACGCCCTCATGTTTGTATGCTAAATATGAAACTGGAGCCAGTTTGCTGAGTGTAGCATAAGGACTGAAAATAGGCGGAAACAGTTAACCTAGCTGCGCTCACATCATATGTTCAGACCGAAAATATGAGCAGCCCAGTGGAAAAGAACTGTTCGGGTCAGCTTTTGACTTATAAATCAGAACTGGAGATTTCGGGAATTTCTGACAGCGATGATATCTCTTGCCTGGTGAAAAAAAAGAGTCAACAAACCATGAAAAAAATGGCTGCAAAGTCACCATCAATAACAGTTACATCTAAATGAAATCCAGTATTTACACTTGTAAACCAATTCAGCTGATTTTAGAGGAGCTATAAACTGTTAGAGTGTATCTGGTGTCACTGGTTGATGAACAGCTAGAAACAGGGGCGGATTGGAGGGGTGTCTTCTGGGGAACCAGCCCCGAATCATCTCTCCAAAGCCCAGAATCATTGCAATGACCAAAAGAAATTTAATAAGTGTTCTTCTGTTGGTTAAATATGTCATTCAGAGTTATGAAGACCACAGATTATTATTGCATCTACTCCAGCAGAGAATAAAAAAAAAAAACAGGTTTTAAGAAGTGATGCAGTTAAGATAGGTGATGCCATTTACACAAATTCCTACGCCTACCTTTGTTATGTAACATAAAAATAGTAGCATTAGACACACAGGCACATTTGATTTTCCCAATTGATGTAAAGAGATTGATGTAAATGGCTTGAAAAGTAGTGAATATAGCTGCTGTACCTGGTGGGAAAAACCTCCCTGGATTCCAAATGTTTACAACATCTTGCTCCCCCCCTGGCTAGAAATGTGTAACACAACAAAAGAAGCTAATTTAGGATAGTTATCTGGTGTGACTACAGGTTTATTAGTGGTGGAAATCCTTTTTGGAAAGATGTGTGACCCCCAAGTCAGAAAAACTGGAAGACTCATTTTAGCTTCAGACAGAGCCAGGCTAACTGTTTGCCCTTGTTTCCAGTCTTTATGCTAAGCTAACGGCTGCTGGCAGCTGCTTTTACCATACAGACATCTCATCTAACTCTCGGCAAGAAAGCACACCAAAACGTCAAACATTTTCTTCAACCATCATCAGCAGAAAAGAGATGGACCTGTCCGTATGTGTTGTTTCTGATAAGTTATCATATGTTATAGAGAGTTGAGTCTACTGATGTACCTTTGAAGTAATGTGTTGTGTTGTGTCTTGTGCATGTTTCATTATCTTTTTTACTAAACATGTTCAGGTGTGCTTTGTAGTTTAATTTGCGAGACATGGTGCTCAGCAGATATTTATCTGTGTTGGTAATTGAAGTGAGATTAAAGTCACAACAACAAAGGGATTCATTTCGAAGAGTCACCACTTTATTGCACATAATTACATTTACACACACACACACACACACTGTACACCACAACCTCTCAACAAGACTGTTTACAGGCAGAAGCTCCGCTGCTGCTCCTTTTCCTCTTCTTTTCATCTGTGTGTCTCTTCTCCTCATTTTACTCCTGCTCTTTGTCCTCTCTGTGGGTGATCACATAACACGAGCTTGTGTAGTCAAGGTTACCAGCGACATCCACAGGGAAGTTTGTAAACATCTGATGTACCTGCAAGCAAACAGGTAAAGGGTTGCACTTGCACTTTTTTTTTTTAAAAGAGAATCCTCAGCTTTTGTGATGAGGAGAGCTGTCAGGTTTGCAAAAAGAGAGATCACACATGCTATTACATCTACAGACAAATACAGAGCCGGCTTTTGCCATTTCAATTAGCTCATCAGAACAGAGAGATAAGTGCGGTTATGTATCATTGTCATATATTCCACTCTGGCCTCTTTATGCACCCTTTCATCTGTGCTTTGCCTGCCTGTTTCTGTCTTGCTCCTGATGTACCCCCTCCTCCTCCTCCTCCTCCTCCTCCTCCTCCTCTGTCTGTCTCTCTCCTCTTGTTTTTCCTGTCTACTGAACAGAGACATGTTGATATGAGGCCCGCTTGCACGGCCACAAGGGAACAAGTCTCTGGTGCTTTTGATCAGCTGCAAGATCAGACATGTCCACCGCTCCCTCGCGTACACTCCAGTGACTGATCATGCAGTATAATGGGCAGGCACAGACAACCAAAGATGCACACCCACACATGTTCCCTCTGTAGATCATATAAGCATCAACACACACATACATACAAACACACACACAGGCACAAGTGTTGGCTCTGCTCACAGTGGGGTGGCTTGTTTGCTGGACACCAGGGAGTGAGAGAGAGATGGTGTGTGTGATTTCCCCTTTCTTGCCCTTTTTTTGCCTCTGACAGTAAGATGGATGATTGCAATCACAGGAGCCATCAGTGAGACAGAGTGGAGGTCTATGGGGCAGCAAGACACAGCCATGGGAAACCAGCCGTCAGATTACTGCACCGCGCTGCCATGGGAACGCTGCGCTGTTTATTTGTCTAGGGGTTTTGTTGTTTCATATGCATTTTCCTCTCTCTTCTCCCCCCTCTGTGCGGCCTTTTGATGTACAGAGCATGAAAGCTTCCTCATAAAATATGTGTAGGCTGTGTGAGAGGGACAGAGAGGGAGCGCGTTTACGTTTCACAACATAGTGAGCCTACTGTAAGTCAATATGTCTCTTCAAACCAGTACAAAAGTGACAGATTTCATAGCGATTAGACTGGTCTCTTTGATCCCTCGAGAGAATGAGAGGCAGACTTTTTCACTCCCCAGTCAACGGATGTTTTTAAGAGAAACATCTGTTGCTGTACAAATGAGATTACTGTGTCTCTCGCCAGGGGCCATGAAGGTTATGAATGGCACTGTTACTGAAGAGGGGGTCTGGAAGAGAGCTGAGAAGGATCTTTGTAATAAGCTGTAGCTGGTAGTTAAGGGGTTTAAATCAAATTAAATTGCCTCAGATTCTGGGTATTCATCAGTGCTCACCTTCAACTTGTTCAACAGTATCGCCACCGCCGGTACCTTTGAATCACTATCTCATATTGATACATTCAATATTTCACCTTGTTGCCAAGCAACAACTCACCTCATCCTCTGTAAACTTGTCAGCCTGTGACATGAGGTGATATTTCATCTTGCAGGAGAGCAATAGGAACGAAGAATTACGGTTTCCATCTCTTTGACTTTGAATTAACTGTGATCTGTATTTCACTGACCAAGATATGCGTTATCTGCATCCTGGAACTTTGCTAATGATTTATGTTTTCGTGCTGTTCAAAGCACCGTTCAGAGTTATCTGAGTGATGAATTCCTGCGAGAGGCATCTCAAGCCACAGAGTCGTTTCTGTGGTGTCTGTGAAGAGAATCACACACTCACTCCCACCCCCTCTGAGGACTCTGGGTCAGAGACCTTGAAGGCATTGAGAATCATCTCCTCAGGGTTAGCTCCTGACGAAACACAGAAAAACACAGGTAAAGCTGCGAGTTAGAACTGTTGGACATGATGCACTCTGCACTGACTCTGTTTCACATGATACTTTACTACTTTTTTTGTGAATGTTAAAATTTATGGCCCAGAGTGAAAGATTTAGGGGCATCTAAAGGCATCAAGTGTTTAGGACTGCAGATTGCAACCAGCTTAAACCTCTCCTGGTTAGAATTCCTTCAGTATTCTACGTTCAGGAGATTTTTTCCAGGAGCTGACGTATCCACAGAGGTCTCTTCCTCTCCAAATCAAAAAGAACAGGTGATTAAAACCAGTAAAAAACACTGAATAAAGCAGTTTCATGTTACAAATAAGTGTTTTTCCTACCCTGTTCGGCACGTCACTGACAGCCCACCTATTTTCTCTGATACCTTTATGTGTGCTCACGACATTTCTGATTCAGACGTTCAGGGGGTTTCTACCAGGAGCTGAATTATCCACAGAGGTCTCTCCTCCTCCAAAACAAACAGACCCGGGGATTTATACCCTTAAAAACACCGGATAAAGAAGTTTCACGTTACAAATCAGTGTTTCTCCAATGCTGTTTGGCTCGTCGCAGACAGGCCGCTAGCCTAGCTCATGCTAATCTGTGCTCTTCTTTGTTCTCTGATAACTTAAGATCCAGACGTTCAGAAATTTTGTCACTGGCAGCCAAATTATCCGCAGAGGTCTCTCCCTTTAAAAAAAATGGACCCTGTGATTTAAACTGGTGTAATGTTAAAAAACTGGTCCGACGCTCTTGCCGCGGAGAGGCTGCTAACTGTGGTGGCCGATGCGAAATTGAGAATGGCCCTATGGAGAGCCAGTGTTTTGTCAGACTATTCTGGACTACTGTATTTAGGGACAAAATGAATCATTACCATATATAGACATGTAATATTCTGCCTCCTTCTTTGTATAAGGCTTCATTGTACCTGAGGTGAACTGCGTCCTTAGAGTTTTCATTAATGTATGAGAAGCTTGCTTTGTAGCTGTTCTTGTGACAGTTATCTGCTAAGTGGAGGCCTTCCCTTTGCCTCCCTTTCTCTGTGCACTTCTACGTCTTAATTACATTATGTGACTGAATCTGTGATTCTTTGTCAGACCTACGGAGGATGCTCCAGGTGTCAGAGCTCTGACCTTTCAGCTGAAATAGATCGACTCTGTTAGAACTCTTTTTATTCTGTTCTATCACGTTATTAAATAACACAAAAGACAATGTGATCTTTTCACTCGTTATTTTTTTCACTTCTGCCACCACACTATAAATATGGCCGTGCAACCCGCTCTCTGTGTAGATATAAACGGCTCATTCTAAGGGAACAAAAACACAGCAGTTCTTATTTTTAGGTGATTATACACTAAAAAACCAAAACATTTTTATTACATTACTTAATTTCTGCCAATATAGACCCCCAAATCCTACACACTGAACCTTTAATACAGAAAATATCGAAAACTTTAGACTTTATCGCACATCAAGATTATAGTCGACTGTTTTCTGTGAAATGTCTGCTTTCATGCACCAGTTCCTTCTATCCAAGACAAGTTTTTCCTTTGGGAGACAATAAAAAGCAACGCTGAACTTTAAACTTGACTAAAACATGAATAAATGATCAGCTTCTCTTAAAACAACAACACAAACCAAGCCAAAAAAATATGTTAAATATTAATTAGGGTTCCCAGTCACAGCCAAGTTACAGTTGTAGTGTAGTATTCAAGAAAAAACACCTATGAATCTATCATTATTATCCATTATGTGCCTATGTAACTTCATTTTCAGCACTGCACACATCTAAAGTCACAACTGATAATAGATGAAACACTAAAAAAATTGCAAGTATAAATTGATCACATGAACATTTTTCAGAAACAGAAATTATAACAAAGTATTTCTAGAAAGTAAAATAAAAGTTACCTAACAAAAAAACTCACAGCACGATCAACACCACCTCTGCACGAGCTGACCTTTGACCTCTCTTCAAACATGTTTGAAATGCCAGTCCATCCAGCAAAAGCATCCCTTAGGTCGCTCTTATCAGTGATACCGTCTCTGTTCTTACCCAAGATGGTAAAAGCCTGCGAGCAGAGGGCAGTTACACAGGTTACCATGAGAGGCAGTGCGGCTCCACATAGCAAGAGGGAGAGACAGTCGTCCTACATGAACACAGCGTCTGACCTCTGACCTCTTCGGGCTCCTGGACCTCGCTCTGCTTAAACATGCTGACCATGTTGGAGCCTCTTTCTTCTTTGCGCTTCTGGGCAACAGAACAGATGTGTCCCATGAGAAAGGAGGTCCACAGTGGTTCCCTTGAGTCAGACCAGCCGAGGTGGGAACCAGCCTTAGTCAGCAGAAGTACCAAAAACATCTCAGTAGCTGATAGTATTTCTGTTTCATTTAACCTTTCGTTCTTGGTTTCCAAGGTGATTCCTGATCAACATTATAGTCAGTATTAATTACTTCATATAGCTGACCAGATATTGCATGAAAAAATGGTAATAGGAAGTCAATGAGTGCAATAAACTTATTGCATATCCTGTACAGACATTTACCCAGACGAGTGTCTGCAGCAGGAGCATGATGATCTGTAGGTGGATTGATAAGTCAGAGTCTTACTTGTCCTGACTTACACTGTGTAGCCCCTACTGCTTCAAAGTAATCCAGAACCTTGTGAAGATTCACTCAAATCCTTATGGAGATTCTGTGTGCTGAAATGTAGAGTTTGAGAATTAATTTTTATTTTTATTCCAGCCAACTAAAATGTTTTTTATACCTAGTTTTTTGTTTAGTTTTAGTTGACTATAATAACCTTGGTGTGTTGTCAGCAAAACTTTTTTTTACGATTAAGTCAGGGCTGGGCAATATATATCGACATGAAATCGATATCGTGATATGAGACCAGATACAGCCTCCGATTTTGGA